GGGATAGCAGTCAGTGCAAGGCAAAGGCTGCTGAGGAAAATCTGAATCTTTATCATAATAAAGTAGTATTTTCATGGTATGTTATTCATTTTGAAGGTCTTGATCATCTGTGTGTTATTAAGCAACTCGTGCAAGAATTTCCCCTCCCTCTTTTCAAGTCCGTCTCTCTCAGAAAATTACATAGACGGGATCAGCTGTGCGAAGGTCTTAATAGTACTACCTTCTAGGAATATTCATTGCATTTAAGTTGAGAAGAGTTATACTGGGTTTACTCAAGCTTATGCCTCAGAATCCTAGTGCAATATTGACAGAAGTGATGAAATTCGAAAAAGTTGGGCAGCTTAATTTTGATAAGTCACTGGTTTGGCTGAAAGATTTCCTTTGCATATTCTTCTCTCGAGGGTGAGGTGGGGTTGGGTGGGCGCACGGGTGTGGAGGAAGTGATTTGGTTTGGGTCGGGTCACAAACGACATAAGCAGCTGTATTCTTCTTGTTATTTATAACAAGGGATAAACACAATATTTCCTTTGCTGCATTACGTATAATGTTTTGGTTTATGCAGAACAACGGTACCTGTGAATGCGTGCAATTTTGAGTGTCGTTATTTCAAGTTTTCTTGTCAGCTGCTCTGCAAACAGAATACATGTTTATCTATTCTGGTTTTTATTATCCTTACTCTGATCTCTCTTTCCCCATATTGGTTCAATGCGTTGTTTCTAAAATGTAACTTCTTTTGCTTTAATAGCTATTGTTTGAGAAAAAATAATTGGTGACAGAAAGCCTCTTAACAACTGAGGTTGTTGAAGTTGTTGTACACTTGTACTAACACCATTGAAAGGAAGAGATAGTAAAGGCAAACAGAGAGTGCGACATGATCGGGAGGAGGCAGAGAATGCTTACATAACTTAAGAGCTTCATCTTGTTCGACTTATCTATGGTGATGTTCTTCATTAATGTTCTTAATTTATGTTCCCTACTTATTTCCTAGTGTAGATTGTGCACATTGGGTGCTTATTATTGTCTTGTGCTATATTTGTTTGATGTGCGCTTAGCGGCTACACTGTTACTTTTTTATGCAGTGGCTTTCAGTGTCGGACATGTAATTTTCAAGAACTGAGACAAACTTCATAGTGGTGTGTTATAGTGGTGGTTGTGGTAGAGTGTTGGTGGTGGATCAATGTCCACAAGTGGATATGGTAGAGGTGTGTAGGTCACAGTCAATTGAGTTTCTGTGACCAAATATCTTGTATATGTGACGCATCAAAGTGCACGGGTTATATGTCAAAGTGCATAGGTCACAGATTACAGATAAAAGAGATTTGGTTACGGGCCATTGGGTCAGGTTACTGATCGAAGAGATTTGTTCACTTGTCATTGGATCAAGTCAAAGTCACATGTAAAAGGGCACATGTTATAGATCACATGTTACTAATTCAAGAAATTTGGTCATGGATCCAAGAGATTTGTTCACAAATTGTTGAATCAGGTCGCAGGTCACACATCAAGTGCATAGGTCATAGGTCCCAAATTCAAAAGAATTTGTCACAAACCATTGACTCATATCACATATCATATATCTAAGAGATTTGGTCACATGTCATTGGATTAGGTTACATGTCACATGTTACAAATTCAAAAGATACAATCACATGTCATTTTTCGACCCCAGTTATCGGAACTGGTCACAAATTCAATTAACCAAATTTTGGCGGTGAGAATTCAAATTATTTGCTCCGATAAGTGATAAATTACATGAGGAGTTGTTTTTCAATTTAAAAAAAAAAACGTTTTAAATTATACTATTCACCGCTCAGTCCCAATCACCGACATGGTGTGTTTTAAACGGTTGGGGGTGTGTGTAAATTAAGTTAATTTGATAATATTATTATTTAAAATTAAAAAATAAAAATAAAAATCAGACTTTTGCATTTTCAAACTTAATTTTTGAGATTTGATTAGTGCATACTTAATAGCTGAGATATGATTTTTTTCCCATGTTAAATAGTTAATTTTAAATAATAATAATAAAAAAAAATCCAAGATTTATGGGTCCCTTTGATGTTGGGCTGAGAGGAGGGCCTCACTTGCCTCGCCTCGCCTCAAGTCCAACCCTGACTGCTTTATGGCATGAGGTTCTCTTGCACATAGAGTTAGTCTGTGACTGTCTAGCCATTTTTGTTATACTTTAATCCGTATATGGCGCATTTGGTAAATTGTACTAGATTAAATTTATAATAAACGTATTTAAAAAAAAAAAATTAATTCTATCTAATCAAAACTGCTAAATAGTTTTATTCTTTGTCTAGAACTGTCTCAGATTCTTTCTGCCTTCATGTTCGTTTTCGCTTTTATTTATTTTTCCTTGTCGCGTATACTCCCACCCACACATGTAGTGAAATAAATATAAGAATTTATATATACATATTTTTAAAATATATCCCGCAATATGTGCTGGTGACAAAACAAGCGTGTTGCAATTTGCCATGTGCTGCTTAGAAGAATATATTCCACTGAATAATTTAATTAAAAAAAAAAGAATCAACTATAATAAATAAGTAAATTCTTCAGAAAATCAAAAGGCGGGATCACCATTGATTAGCTGACACGTGTCGGGATGAGCAATCATAGTGAAATTAACGACGAAAATCAGATTAAAATTTAGCTGTTTATTCAAAGGTTGCATGTGTTGAGTTATGGGTAGCTCGCATATCCATGCATGGAGCTTTGTGAATGGCATTTACCCAAATTTAATAGAATAATTTAATGTATTCATACTCAAAAAGGTTTAAAAACTTTATTGGTAAACCGAAGCTTCAATGTTATCAAAATCGAACGGGACAGAATAGTTTGACTGGGAAAATTAGGGTTCGATTTGAATTCCAATTTAGCAACATGTTGATTAAAAAAGAAGATCATATTGTTAAGCTTTTATCGAAATTGGTTTTCCAGGTTATTTCCTTTTTGTTTTTGGCAATTGGAAAAAATTCTAGATGCAATGGTAAAAAA